CGAAAATATATATAACAATTGGACAATTCTTTGTTTCAGTCTTCCATGTGTATAAAATTTTCAATAATTGACTTCCGTGTACAAAGTTTGACAAAGTTTGTTTCATAAATAAACATTGGAAACTCGGAAATTTTCAACTTTTCAACGAGATTAATAATCTCATGTACGTGACGAGATATTCACTGTTGCATGAGAAAGTAATCATATTATCTAAAATAGTTACGCACATGTAAAATCAGTTTCATCCCTTAAATTGAAAATGAAAATCTCTGAGAGGAATTAGTTGTGAAAGTAAAGTTTTTACATTCAGATTTAGGCAATGGCCATTAAACTTAAGCTCTGGAGCTTACGGAGTTTCAGCCTTTTATCTCGGATTCTCCATGATATAAAAACCGACCAATGTTACGCAAAGGGGCATACATTATTGAATATAATTTTACACGGAAGCGTGTGGATGCTATACTTCGTCCTGCGTTATAATACAGGGAAGATTACAAAACCGTGTAAGGAAGCCGAGCCCATAATGCGTCGACGGTGTTGTATTAACAGCCGGCGCGTTAAGGGGGTTGCCGTAACGTAACTGGGATAGTAAATAAAGTAAATGATGTAATAAGCTGGAAGAGAAGAGACGATTGTTCGGTAGGAAGGAACGTGTGGGTGGGAAAACCGGCCGTGTTAAGGGAAAATAACAATTGTCGCCAGGTTAGCATGCGTTCACGTAATTCGGGAGGCGTGTTTTACGCTCTCTCGGGGATATCCTTACTTCTCTTTTCCTCCGTCGTTTCCTTCTCTTTGCCCCGAATTATCCAGATTAAGGTGGCGTTGCAAGGGGTGTGGTGATGGCTTTGTCTGCGACCGCACACGTGCACGCGCACACGATGCCCGCTAAAATTATTAGAGAACCAATTCGTATTTACCTTGTAATTAACAAGTAATTTCATATTTATCCACTCTCTTATATTTCTCATGAATAGTAATTGCAACCAGAATATAAAACATTCATGTTTTACATCACTTCATGGCTGCATTTTATTGCGAAAAATTGTATTATTTTGGAATTTCTATGAAAATTCATGTTAAACTGATAAATAAAATTTCGAGGTAAAAAGATTATATTAATACATTTTCTGGGCACTGTGAGGATGTGTGCAGGTATGTGAGTGTGTTACAATAAACTGGTGACGGTCTCGCTAATGGGGTGGCCTAGCCTTCTTCCCTTTTCTCTTTTTTTCTGTCCGACAGTGAAGCGATCGCGCACCCGGGAGAACAACACAACGCCAGAAGGGTACCAACCCTGAAGGGCTGCGAATCGTGACCGACGCGATGAAGGTTCGCTGGTTTTTCGATTAAACACTACTTTCCTTTCTCTCTTTCTCGTTTCTTCTCTCTTTTGATTTTATCTTCCTCCTCTCACGTGGAATGCCGCTTGTCTCGTTCTCTCTGAGCATGTTCTGCTTTCCTCTTCCAGCATGCATTTGTCATAGTATCGGAGAACAGTCATGCGGAGAACGCAATATTTTAAGCTTGATGCTTTTACAGTTTGATTGAAATCCTTAAAAAACCTTGTGATTTATTTGCGATTAAGGAAACGGAACATATCGATGTATTGATTCTTGCATCGCTTGTGGTTAAAGAAGTAGAACATTTTTAATCATAATACCTCAAGTCGTTAATAAATTTTTATGTTTAAAATATTGCGAGGGCAATGACATGAATTAATAATACGAAACGTGTACATAAATTGAATTTTTAAAAATTTATTTTCTACTAGATTTATGTATCGATAGAATCAATTTGACATAACTCACTGGTCACGTAGGTCGAAAGAAGCGGATATATTGCAGTTTCTTAAATTTTTACTCGTCAGTTCTAACTTACGCCTCTTTGTAATGAAACTTTTCTACGAGATATAGAATTTGCCTTACGCGGCGAACTTTTATCCGGTCCGAGAAAACTTTACTTTACTTGGAAATTGTACGATGTCCTTGATGGCCTATTAAAATTGTAAATACTGTACTCGTTATTGCATTAACGCCGCGTTCGTATTGATACATCCATACAGATTCTTCATGTTCGACCAATTAAGTGCAGTCAAAATCGAAGAAGTAAAATCAGTCGTAATGTCAATCAAGAGAGTAAGCGAAAGGGAAATAAATAGCTTTTAATTTATAGGAAGGTATCTGAGCACGATTAAACAAGTCTTACTTCTCTGCGTTTCTCTTTACCCGCGTCGAACGATTACAAACATTGCACTTTTGTCAAGCATACGGATAAAGGGAAAGTGATAAATCAGTGGAAGTGTTGAATTATTCAAACGGCGCACTTGACTTCCCCCATCCCTCCGCGACGTTTTATTTGCCTTCGAGTAAACGGCGTCGAAACTATCTGCTTGAATTTCTTCTAGCGTACAAACAGCTTTTCGTGTAATTATAGCAATAAAAACATAGTAGAAGTTCCCAATTAAGAAGGCGAGCAAATGCATAATTTGTTAAAATAACTAAATCTGCTAATTAATGAATTATTTATTGCATTATCTTATGAAGTTTTTACTTTATGAAAAACTCTTGAATTTCTTATTCCATAGAATTCATTGAATAAATTTATTTTTCAATTTAAAGGAATTCATCATTTTTCTTTACATTTTATATTTTCATTGAATACTACATTATTCTGATATAAATAATGACTGAATGTGAATACTAATATGTATAAAACCTCATTTAATAAATTACGGACATGTATTACAGACACGACTATTCAACTTTTTCCGTATTATTATTGCCCGTTTAATTAGTCGGTCGATTGGACTCGTGAATTTCCATGAATTTATAATAGCGCCCTACGGGCCAGCGCCTAGACGATTTTAATCAATTTCCGTGGAGTAAGCGAGACCAGAATTTATACGCGTAAACTCCAGAAAAACTTCTGCACAGAACTACTTATGTGAGTCACGTAACGAATGGATGCACTGTACAACCAATCACTTAGCTGTTTCCATTTGATTATTATTATACATATATAGGTACGTGTTCAAATCGTTCTGACTGATACAGAGCCACAGAGATAATTAATGTGCACCTTATTGAATCTTTACAAATGATTTATGACCTAAGCATTAGGAGCTAGCTATTGATGTTCATCAGCATTTATTATGGTTAATTGATATTGGAGAGAAATTACTTAGTGTCTTTATATCTAGTATTTCTTTTTTTATAAATTCATAGCCTATTGACTTTAGAAAATTAGCAAAAGTATAACAAGCAGTATTAAAACAGTTTTTCTGCTTGTCGATAGGAACATATTTAGAAAATACGAATTAACTTCAGAAAATAGAGAAGAATTTCTATAATTAGTGGAATTAATATTGATATACTAACATGTTCTAGTCAGTGGATGAATAGTTATAAATGATGTAACTTTGAGAAACTGTGCCACGTTTAATAGCAAATAACGCGCGTATATTTATTGAATGAATCTGTTTAGAGTGAATAAAGATAAACGTTATCAATAGCGGAATTACTGGATTATTTTCTGTAATACGAACTATGATACGTGTTTGCGTAATATCGCGGTAATACTACCGTAATATATAGCGTCCGTGTAGCTGTCGGTTCCGTTCCCTAATCACTTCACGATATAATTCTGCTTGTGCATTACGTAACAAGGAATATAGGACTCGGGGGAATATATTATGGAGGAGGTTGATACAGGTACATACATATACATGAGAAAGTCTTGCTTGATCCTTGTCGTCTATTCGTTCCGAAAGGGAATAATGAAACGTTTGAAAAGTGGATCGCTTCCGGTGCAAACGCGACGGCGACAGTCTCAAAGCGTTTTAGCAGACGGCCATCAAGTTACTGATTAATTTCAAGCCTCGCGTTAACGTCCTTAAATTGGAATTAAATTGCAGCTAAGTTGGATGCCATGAAAGCAGTTGGAAAAGAATTTATTTCTTATTTTTGTATTAACTCGATAACAATTTGATTACTTCGTGTATTCGATTAATTAGTTCGATTTTATTATACTGTATCAATATCAAATCAATAAGTGCAGGCAATGGAAACAATTGGCTATTTAGCTATTTCATTGACAGAAGTTTTATATGAATTTTAGGTTCGACGAAGCTTCTTAAATGATTATTTCCTTGTATTCTTTTGAAGTTTAACAGAAAGATCTGTACATTATTTGAGGTGTGAATTCCTACGGACTCTGTCTATTAAGATGAAAGCTACATGTATATGTATAACATCATTCCTGAAATTGAAATTTTTTAATCTAAATTTTTCTATTATCTTTGCTATCATGAATTACTGTGAATCATATCAAAATGAAATTTTAATATCTAATTTTAATATTTAATATCTAAATTTTAATATCTATCTTAATTTTAATATCTAAAATGATATTTCGTACACATTCACCTAATAATTTACTATCCCTAATAGAAATCTGAGAAACTAAATAATGCAAACACGAGAATTCAAGACGTGACGAATTTGATAGTTTTATACTCCAAGCGTAGGAACAATTATTCGTACATATCGAGGAATGATCAATACATGCCGTATCAAAACTCCAATTACAAGAGAATTCACGCGTGAAACGTTGACGAATATTTCAATAATAACTATGACCAGCTTTGAGCTGCGAGATTATACAATTCAGAGGTAATGAACGCGCAATAATTTTCTAAATCCATTAACCATTCATAATTATATATTATGCAAGTCAGAATCCTTCATTTGTTATGTTTAACAGCCACCGCGCATTGTGTTATTAACATACGTCGATCGAGCGAACGTGATGAATCAATTTTCGTTTAATCAATCATTGTCTAAAATACGTAAATGTTTAGCATTATGATTGTTATTGCATTTTATTGAGTATCGGCATGCTTGCAATGAATAATCACCAAAGCACCCTAGATTTAAGTTTAAGCTTTCCGAAGAGGTGCTTAAGGACTCAATATTATCTGTTAATGACGAAAAGTCGATTTTTTACACTCATATTTTTGGCCATATCAACGTGTTAAAAAAGAGGGTAATAAAATTTGCAAAAGCGTATAGCAAAGAGGTGCGATTTATCTTGAAATATTTGTAATATAAATTGTTTGAGTCATACAAGTACTTCATATACAAAACCAATGAGATTAATCAAATTTGAATGTACCGTACTAACAATGTAAATAACTGCATAAAATGTTTGCTTAAATGTGACTTGTTCTCTTTGATTTTTCGCATGCAAACCTGAATGACCTTTTTGTACCATATTTTTATATAAATCCGTGAACTAAATGCTAGAACATTTTGTGTAAACGTGTTTATATATATTTAACAGAAATTGACTTGAAATAGAACAGAATTGAACAGAAATACCCCTGTTTTAAATTGTATCCTACATAAAATGTTGTAGCGTTTATCATTTTCTGTATCCTTCAGCTAACTGTACAGCATGATTTTCTAATAAATAAATGTAAATTTGTATGAAATTTCACAGTGCGTAGAACGCTGAAGAACGGTCTCTCGGAAGAGGAGAAGAAGCACATCGCCGCCTACATCAAGGGCTACTAACTGTGATAAAAACTCAAACCCCGTAAAACTCATCCGCGAGAAGAGAGCAAGGTTTAAATCCATAGCACGATCTTCCCTTCGCTGATGCCAGATGCTGACGATATGGCCAGGATTTTACGGAGGGCGCGACCATTGCGAAATACGACAGACACGAGAAGTACCAGATACTATCCTTTAAGAGAGAATCGCGAACATACTCCAAGGTTATACGTTAAAAATGATCATAAATGCACGCGCGTGAGTGTGCGCGCATTGACACTACAGGGTAGTCTAAAATTTAATTTGATATAAATCTTGGAGTAGTTCCTTGTTTTGAACCTACCACAGAATGGTCATTACGTTCATCTTGAAATCGACTAAAGAGCTATGCAGTCAGATGTATATAAAGTGACCTCATCTTTTCATGAAACATTCTTTCAAATTTCCAATGATGCAAAAGGTAAATGACTTTTGTTCGAATCATTTTTTTGCTGGACTGTAGGAAATACCTGAAACATCTTTTAGACTATCATGTACGTGTATGTATATACATATATTATATACACATGCGTATGGGTAGAAATTTAATTGTTTCTATTGCATTCGTCGTCGAAAAACGAAATCCGAGCTTTCAAATTCTATGTTCTCGACTTATATTTCCTGTCGTTCATACGAGTGCTGATGTTTAATTATTTTCCGATTAATTTATTTGATGGCCAATCGATTTAATGTTGAGCATGTCTACGCGAAACACTCATTTTCAAGTGTATTCATTTTATTTTATTTCTCTTTAATGTCTTTTCAAAGAATCCTTTTGGAACATCTATGATACGTGAACGAAAATGATTTACCTAGCGTTTATATAAAAATGTTATATTCGAATAAAGATGCAACGCCGGATCCTAGTTAGAAAACATAATGTCAATTCTCCGATGCTCTCCTCGGATGGAATTACTAATTTAATCATTCAACTCTCGGTCGTATGCCTTAGGAAAATGTACCCACGTTAAATATTACAAAATATTTTATGCATTCGACTGCATCGGAGAAACGACTTCGAGGAATGAGAAACGAAACTCTGAATTGAACTGAAACAAAGAATACGAACAGATTTAGTGTGATCAATCAAGCGACTTTATTCGTGAAATCTCCTTACGACCGGCTGGCAGCTCGCAAGGACGAGCCGCGAGGTCGAACTTACAGGTCAGCCGTTTCCGCGTCACGTTGCGAATGTGGCAACTCTGAAATTTATATCTTCTCCATCTTCTTACTTCGAAAAAAAGGAAAGAGGTCACCAACAGAGAAGAGGGGAAAAAAAAGAAGCGAGAACTTTTCAGATGCATCTTCCACGGTGACAGTTTCCCAGGGAATAAATGCTCGCATGCAAAGCGAGACGACCACATTTCTCAGGGCAATTCGCTTTTGCAATATGCATGGCACGACGCGAGCCAGAGGATTATTGAAATTCGCGCCCCGAGAAGTTTTTTAAGCGCTTACCCTGTGTACGAAGTTCGAACGACAGGAGATAGAAATCAGACAATCTCGTCGAAACGTGCCTCGAACACCTTCTGATTCGTCGATGAATATCTCTCTTTTTTTGAGTATTGTCTCTTGATATCTAAGAAAAAGTCCTGAACAAAATTGAACGAAACCGATTCGATGTCAGGGAATCGATTACTTTCGTGTACGTATTTTTGTAACAAAGAGAACGCGAATTAAGATTATTCATGCGATCAACGGTTTTACTTCCTTTATGCCGATAAATAATCAGTAGGTAGTTAATGTATCCTACCTACTGCGTATATCTACATGAGAATTCGTGAAATAGTGTGATTTGTTCGACGAGACAAGCAACTTAATTAATTTAATCATCATCCTTAATAGGATAATGATCTTATCGCGCTGCGTGGCGTCGCGCAGTTATTGTAATTTTCTGCGAAAATGATTCTTGAAATAAAATTAAAAGCAACTGTAATTAGACGTCTTGTTAATTCCACTATTCCTAACTTTCCTTCCTATAATTTCATGGCGTTTAATGCATCAAGAATGAAGTCAGACTTGGGATAGTCGTACGAACAAGCGAAAATAATGAAAAGGTAAGTACTGTACTTTTCGGAAAGCAATGAAAAGCATAAAAAGATTGAAACGTTGAATAAAACTTGATTTTATTTCATTAAGATTTATATATACAAATATATTTTATGTATACCAATTCCTGAAATAATTTCGAAACAACTTTTAAAATCCTTCACTATAACGCCTTATGAAATTAACTTGGACTGTGCAATTAACTTCTGTACTGAATTAATTTTTCATGGGTATCAAACAGCAAAGTAAAGAATTGAAGAACAAAATATCGGAATGATATCACTTAGGAAAAGGGGAGGGCGCAAAATATACGAACCAAATAAGCCATTTCAGGTTTTTTTTATAACAAACTGTGCTCGAGACACACGATTTATTATTAACCTTCATCCAACTTTAACAACATACAATATAATGTAGTAATAAAAACGTATTCAGTTAAAAGTGTAATAATGGTAGCGACCGATCGAATGAGGGGAAAAAAGATCGCGTTTGTTTGCGACCGCCATTCATCTCCACCACGCGCATCCATTTCAGGCTTATCTCGCGGATTTGCCTCTATCGAGTTCCTTATACGGTCCCCGGGATAAAACGGTCTCTTCGCGTGAAAATCATAGCCGAGAAACGCCGGTGTGCGGCCTCTCGTTAAAACGCTCGCGGAAAAGGGGAAAATGTATGGAATATGGACGCGAAAGAGGAGGGGGACGGGAACGGGGCAGGGTTTGGAGTACGATCGGATAAAAAGGAAGAAGCATACGAGAGGAGGACAGAACTTTTCGCGTGTGATTCATTAGCACCGTTTACGCCGATGCGCTTAATTAATATACGCTAACATCTATAGTCGTGTAGAAAAAACGCACATACACACACTTTCTCCGTCTCTCTATCTCTTTCACATAAAATCATGCTTCCTTTACTCTCTTCCGTTCTTTCTTCGCCCCTCTTTATCTATATTTGTATGTAATTATAGTACGTAGAATAGATTCGCTTCGAACCGGGATTTTAATCATTCGACCAGTTACGCCGTTCGCCTCGGACCCAAATTATCTCGAAGAGGTTCGAATATAGAGACTTGGCCCCGTAGAAACATAAAAATTGTTTTCGATGCATCAGTTTTTCTCTCCTCCTTTGATGGTTTCCTCCTCGTTTCGTAATAGCTGCTTTTGTCGAGCGCAACTGGCTCTTCACCTTGGAAAGCTTTTGCGTGATTCACAGAGAAGAAAACATCCTGAGAATCGACAGAATACTCGAGGACGCGCTTCCCTGTTGCTTCCTATGAGGTAGCTGTTCCTCCTCTTTCCGGCATTATCTCGTTCTGACGGATAAAGGCATCCGAGCCAGTAGCGACGTGCATCTTAATTTTCATAATTTGTCCGATGAGATAAGTCCGTCGTGACAGTTTCACGATCGAAGATACCTCTATTCCATAGAGAGAAAAACCTTTGCTCCACAAACTGTTTTCTTGCTAACTCCGATACATGTTCGTCAAAGTGTACCTCTGGGCCGGGTACCAAGGTTCCTTCAGATCGAAAAGTTCCCGGACAGCTTTCCGAGAGTTCGTTCGATCGGCGACTGGTTCGGCGCGTTTTCCTTCCGCGAATGAAATTCCCCGAGCGAATAAGAAATCCGTCCGCTGTTTCCCTTCTCCCTTTTGTTTTGTTTCTCGAGCACCAAGATTCGTCCGCACTGGCCAAAAAGCGGGTCTCGTTTCGAGGCAACTGCGCACGTTTCACGGAGCGAAAACTGTCTGTAGTAAAAAAAAAAAGAACGTAACTCGCGCGTTCACGTTTAATGATGTTCGTCGCGAACCGGACAGGACTCAAGAAGGCGATTCCGTGCGGATGTGAACACGTGGTAGCATGAGACGCGACGCCGGCGGCGGGGGCGACGCGGTACTCGGAGACGCGGCGACGCGGCACGAAGGCTTCAGAGCTCGTCGTGTTTCGGCCCGCTGAACTCGTCATGCGAGATGAACCCGTTCTTGTCTTTGTCCTCGTGCTGGAATATCTCTTCCACGAGCTTGTCATGGTCCGCTAGCATCTTCTTCACTTCATCGTCGTTTTGCTCCGCCTCGATCATTTGCTTCCTCAGATACTCGCTCACCTGCGTCAATCAATCCTGATTTTAGTCACAACTTATGTTTATCGAGTGAAATGACATCATTAGATACATCCACCATTTCTTTTCCTCATTTGAATTTGTCTTAAAATGACCTAAATTGCGAAATATTTATTTATTTGTCAATACAAAGTTATTCTAAGGTATCCTTTTCATTCTAGTTTATGATACTGAGATATTAATTAACGAAACCAAAGAAAAGAGAGCTAGAAAGACATAAAATCTGTAATTAATAAAAATTCTCTATTTTACTTTTCACTTGGATAATTTACTTTGAAACATGTACCTAGTAAGTAGTTTTTCATTTATTGTATGATATAAAAGGAAAATAATGAGGACTGAATTTCAAGTAACGATTTATGAGATTTATGCAAGATATAATTTAACAAATACTCTTGTTAGCACATGTATTAAATAGTGTATGAAACAGATGACTCGATTGTTCATTCGATAACTGTCAGAGACAAGTTTGCGTAACTTAACAAAGGGATTTCAATATCTACGTAAAAACAGGATTTAAAGCTTTATGACAGTGTGTTTCAAACAGACATAAATTCGAGTCACGAGACCGAGCTTTTATTTATTCCAAAAATGTTTTATTGTGAAAAAGATTATAAAAAAGCTACGTTTACTGGTAGAAGCGGCGTGTTCGTTAAAAAAGCATCAATCGCACAATATTTTAAAATGATTAACTGTTGTGAACGCGAGAGAGAATAAAAAATGGTAAAGGATTAGTCATGCATGTTTGTTGTTGAAAGGGATGAAAAAAATAGCAACAACTGCGTTACAGCCATTTCTCTCGGCGCAATGTGTATGTATTAATCCTTTGCACTTGTACGCCCGAGATAAAACTGACAGCTGCGATTGGTCTACTTTTTGATCCGTATTTTTATGAAATTAATCACTGAAATATTCTATTTTAACAATGAACATAGCTATAGTGTACTCTTTGTTATCAAATAACAACGGAACATTTTCATTGGCTTTTGCTTTTAATTCCTTAATCCGTTTCATGTCGTGTGCAATTGAAATGTACTGTATTGTAGTTTTAATGTGTATAAGATTTGATAAAATATAAGTTTTATATATACAAGTGTTAGAAACAACACCACGGATGACCCTTAGAAAAAAAATGAAAAGAGATCTTGCCATTATTCTCACCTCCTCGCGGGACAACTGATTGTCGTGGTCGCTGTCGATCTCTTTGAACACGTTCGCGCTTGGTGGCGAGTCGCTGATGTTGATCAGCTCAACGTCGAACATCAACGTAGCACCTGGAATCAGAAATATAGGATTTCATTAAAAAAAAACATTGCGTTAATATACATATGGCCAAATGGAACTAAGGGTCTAAACTCTATCTGTGTGATAAGATAGGGAAGCAATGTTATTCCCCAAATTGGTAAAAAATAAAGGTATACGCCATTCGGTTGTTCGTTTTTATATTAACGCTTTGACTGCCGTGTCACCCAAATTCAAGTGACGCATAAAGCTTTCAATGGGCTGTATTGACCGGATCTGGGTGATGGATAGATGGGCTGTTATTTGGCCGACGTGTTTCGAAAAATAGTTAACAGGATACAAGCCAACAAAATATGAACTGTTTAATTGAAAAGAGTATTTTGTTTAGTAGTTAAAGTGTTAAAAGATTTTCGGGTCGTCAACTTTCGGAAAGGGGAAAGTAAACAATACGAAAAATTGACTTTCTCAATCTCGAAAAGTCACGTGACTACCCTAGTCCCTTTAGTACAATATGTTCCATTATTATAGGTTGTAATTATTGATGTTTTATCGGACTATAGATATTTTCTCGACTCCCCTTTGTCACTCACTACTGACACAGGCGAGAAGCCTAAACAGTCGCTGCTAAGTAAACTCCGAGACTAGGGCTACTTTCCGAAACTCGGCGCTCTAAATTCCGTTCAATACGACAGTGCACTCAGAGTCCTTTTCCTCGGGCCTATACAGCGCAGACCCGCTAATAAAATATTTCACGATACTGCTCGGAGTAACAGCCCCTCGTTGTCGAACACGTTCCAAGAAGTTTCCACTCAGACTTGCAAACGCCGCGTCGGCAAACTGGTAACATCCACCCGCGCGCATTCGGAACACTGGAGACCGGAATGAAAATTCTCATTCGCGAGACTGAATTTCTCGCTAATATCGTTTAAACGTCCCCGTGAAGAAAAATCAGAGCGACGAGGAAATTCATGACCAAATAGAGGGTGGATAAGAATGGGGGGGGCAGAAGGGAAAGAGGAAACGAGTTGCTTCTCTATCAGTCGCTGATTTTCCATTATGTTTCACTGATCCCGAAGAACCATCGTGCTGTGACGACGCGCTGATTGGCCGAAACCCAATAAAAATCCAATACGTCTTTGTCAATGCTGACGAAAGACGATTGCTGCAGCTTTCCTATTATTTGCCCGCCCGCGATCTATCCACGTATACCTACGTATACACATATAAATATATATATATATATATATATATATATATTCGCCACGAAAAATCTGTTCCCGCGTCTGTCTATCGACCTGTCCGACATAACGTATGATGGACCCCTTGCCTCTGACGTTTACTACCGATCGTGGTTCCTTTCGTTTAAACGAACGAACAACCGAAAGGAAGAAATCGATTCGCGTTCCCACGTCGAATCTGGAAGATTATTTGGCGAAAAAATTGACAAGAAAAAACAAGACCATCCTTCGAATGAAAAGATTGAAGAAAGATTATGATAAATTATGTGAAAGTGTGTGAATATCTATTTTCTATTATAATTTATATGTGCATTTTCGATACGCATGTATTTTGATATAAAGTGTAGGTCCCTTCGTGCGGAAGATTTAAAAATAATTATTTATTCGAAAAAAACGTATACGTATTGTTTGAAATAAACATTGTTATCGCGTGTCAATTATTCTTTATTACTTCATTACGATGCAATGAATGTTAAACATCATATTTCATGACAGTGCATCGTTAATGAACACATTAAAATATGAAACCCATTCACCAAGCTTTTATGCATTACAACGAACATTCACTCACTGTATTAATAAATAATTTTTACGGAGACAGTCTTCAAAATATGTTGATTTTTCGATGAACTACAACCATTTCCCTCTGAATTATTTTAGTATTCGTTAGTGGCGCGAACAATTCTTATTGAATTTCTATGTATAATTATATATGTATATGTAATTTTGATATAATTATTTTAGATAATTCTGTATCTAATTGATATATCATGATCATTTTGATATAATTATTTTAGATAATTCTCTATCTAATTATAACATATTATATCTGAAATGGATATTGAGAAAATTCGGATACTGAATTTTTGAACCCTTCAACCTGTCAACTTTCAATGAAATGGTAACGGCATAACGTCGTTTGCGAAGCGGAACGTTTTTACGCGGTTAAATAAATAAGAAGCGAGTTTGCCTCGAACTAAATTTGTGCGCTGATTTGGTTATGTATATTGTTCTTCCTTCACGAATGTAATTTCGTTCAATTTAGTTTCGGTTATAAAACGATTGTAAATCATTTTCACGGTACGTCAACCTCTCAATCCTGTTCATCGTATGACGTCAAAGCTCTGTATGCATAATTGATAATCACTTGCTAGGTAGATAGGAAAGCTGTTCACTTAAAATACTAAGTTCTATCTTTACTTCCTCTTCTGTAAATTTTCATTCCTACAGCAGTTCTGTAAGTTTCTATAAAATCTTCTCATTAATATTTCATCTACCGAATATAGAATACATTGTTAATGTTAGTTAATATTAATGTTTTGAGCACAATGTAAGTGATAATCTGTTTGTATGTACATAGAAAATGATAATTGTTAGGTACTTGAAACACTGAACTTTATGTGATACCTCTCCTTTTCTAATTTAATTATTGATATGCAGCTTCAATTTGCATTACGTAATTTCTTAAGTGAGAAGGGAATTGTCAGGATTATTTCTGCAAATTTAATTATGGCTTAACCAGTGGCATACACCATGCGCGTATATCCGTTATGACACGTCTTACGAGCGTCTCCGTTTACGAGATTATCCCGTAACGCGACCCCCGCGTAATAAAGGCGATATTAAAAAGGAAACGAGCTCGTTATCGGTAATACGAGTTTAATTCTCGCAGCGATGCAACGCGACGGGGCGGCCAATTAATTTCATCCCGTCTTTCCTTACGCAACCCCGTGCCGCGTCGTCGACCTGAGGCAATCGTTCCCGGCGATAAGAGGCAACAAATCTATCCGGATTATACAACACCTTGAACGGCCGTGCACTTTTATCCAATAACTGTTATCAACTAAGCGATGAGCTCTTAAGAGCTCTGTCATATATCGTATTGACTGATAAAATATGATGCGAATTTTATTTTATTAAATCGATCATAAGTAGCCATGAATTCTAACGTTTATTGCGTCATAATGTAACAATGATGAGATGCATTAGTTTATTGAACAACGATGAGTTCTTTTAGAACTCAGCTAATCAGAACGCAAATCATATATCAGTTGTCACATCAAACATTCCCAATTGGGATTAATGTACATTAATGAAACATGCCGCGCAATTATTTACTACCTAAATGGATCCAATTAATACCAAATATTCCGACTGAATCCGAGAAATGCACGAAAATATCGCTTCTCAGTGATTTGACAAAAATGATAGAAATAGTAAATTTAAATACTGAAGGGTGTAAAGAAAAAGTAGAAAACTCTGTAGAATATATTTCGGACAATTTTGTAATATCCATTAAAAGAAAGGTTTTATTAAGGGGAATTGAATATCAGTGATGATATTTTATGTGTACTTGCAATTATTATACAGAATAAAAACAATTCAAATTTTTAATCTTTATATGTATAGAATAATAATATTTAGATTTATATAGAAATTATATAGTATATAAGAAATTATATAGAATAATAGTAAATAAAAGACTTTTCGATATACCCTAGCAATTAAATGTAATACCACACATAAAAAAATATTGTAACACGTCATAAAAAGAGCAACAACAAATACACGTATTCCCTAAAAAGGGAATAAGATTATCGACGCTAATGTATTGTAAGATACGTTTGTGTAGAGTCGATGAATACACCCAACCCTAGTTTCCCTGCCACAAAACTGGCAAACACTCGAAAAAAGTTTCACCCCTTTTGTTGGTGACCGTAACATCAACGACAGATGGAATCAAATTCCTTTTCTTTATACGCAATTTCCTCCCGTCTGCGTCTTTCCACCTCCTCCGCGCGCGGGGGATGAAACGATTTTCCTCCACGAACAGAGAAACTTGAGACCTCTTTTCTCCCTTTATTCCCTACCAACGGTACCGCAAACTATTTTCGTTTCTTGACTCCCCAATCCTGCGAAGACCTAGGATGCGAGTTAATGTCATACGATTACCGGACCGAAGGAATAACGGTATGAGTTAATCATTCCATTGTTCCCGAAACGGTACAAGAGGAGCAGCGAGGGAAAAAAGAAACGAATACGAATTAATCTGTATTTAAACGAAGACAATGGCGCGCGCAGCTGCTCGTTTGATTTGTTCAACATTTTTTTCAGGATTATCGCGAGGCGGTAGAGTGTCAAAAGAAAAATATCATACGTGTAATAATTCGTACAAGAAATCATGAAGTTAAATATATATATAACAAATATCATTAATGCATTTAATCAATTTCAATAAATACATTTAAAAATGGAATAGGCTTTTTAATATTAGACAATTAATTATACTGTACGATTAACTTCTTTACTCAGTATTTATGTGACATGAGGAAATAACGGAAAATGTATACAATAATATATAAACAATATGCCAACGATAAATGTGAGATAAATTTAATAAAATTCAATTCACTGAAACGAATATACACAGGCACACTCGAGCAGTTTGAAACAATACCGGAGACTGTAAAGAAGTCGGGACTTGCACTGACTTAAACGTCGCGCCGCGGAAATACTTTTCACGAAGGAGACGAGAGTAAACCCGTGTTGGCCGGCGAAGAAGTTAATTAACCATAAAACGCGCAAACCGCAGCTGCCTTGTTCGCGTTGCGAAGCCCTCGAACGTTGTAATTTCTCGTTGTACGTTTTTCCGCAACAAAGAACCACGGACGTACTCTGGGTGCAGTGAACAATTCGCGCGGCGGTTTGCGCGCTTTTCAGTATGACTACGAAACGTTTTCGCACTACGATCATTGTCGAACTTTAGGAAGAAGTATCTTTGAACGCATAAAATAAAGCGGAATACGAAAGCTATTTAATTGAAATAGTTTTACATATCTGAGTTTGAATTCTTTATAAATAGAGAAGACCATCAGAAGGACCATTGATCTTCAAGATAAAGGATGTAAGGTAAATGCACCGACGGATCAGCCTAGTATTTCCTACTCCTAGACTATCCGCCACATTTTGTTTTGACGTTTTTAAAAACAATTCTCTCTCGGAATTATAGTAATTTTTTCAAAGACAAATAAAACGTATTTCGAAACCATCAGTTAAAAACTAATCTTATCCTTCACTATAAAAGTGAAATATTAATCATGCATGGCATTATATTTGTTGAACACGAATTTTGGGCTTGAACGTATTAAAATCGTCGAACCAACGAAACGTCGCAAAACCCCTTAAAACTATTTTCATCCAACCGAGACAACTCGATTCTTTGCACCAAAAAAGTGAAATGCATATATATAATAAAAGGCAGGAAACATGGGAACGACCTCAATCGAAGATAAATATGTGTACGCGTATTGTGTACGTGTACCTCGGACTAACTTTCGATTTATCTCAAACGCGGAAGATCGTGAAAAAAATGAGCGAACGAGCGTCGCTGTTGATCCAACCCGGGCTGCCTGTCCGATGCGAGGGAATAGCTGCGGCGCTCGATTTAATGGTTGACGCTTTATTGGATTTTCGTGCAATTGCATTTTTTAGTTCGATTTGGCCCGTTACTAACGATCCCTCTTCTGTAGATATCGATTTCGTTGGTCTCGTTCTCGTTTGCATTTGAGGATATCCTTGTAGATAATTTGTGAACAGTTAGCGTTAAATTGGACTCTCGACGCGAAATCACTCAAAATTTTCATTTTCCCTTAGCTCTTCCTCCGTCAGACTTAAACGATAAATCGAATTTGAAATTATCTCCATTTGTTTAGTTTTAATTCTCACTAAAGTTCAATATTAAAAACAAGAAACACTTTGTGTATAAACAACTTTATAGTTCATTAATTAGTGCTCGACGGAAAATTCTCCTTTATTTTATTTATTTAGGTTACGATTTCTTAGTTTATTTTTGTGGAAAAAATTAATTTATAGCCATCGTGCATTAACAGTGTCTATAATTGATATTAAAATGTAGTAAATTATGTATGTCCAGGATGTCACTAATTGTGAAAGACTTACAATGTTCTTCAACTATTATGTTTCTTGAGAATAATTATTGACAATCGAAAAATATAGCGGAAACGACGATATAATTCCAACTCTTGAAGGGTTAAAATTTATAACACGTTATTTGTAGCTACGCCGGCACATTTCGTAGAGGCATTAAGGCGATTGTTTATCACCGGGCAGCGGTAGAAATAATTTCGGTATATCGGATGGAACCCGACCGAGAAATAATAAGAAACTTCAGAGGCAACGGACGTCGTAAAAACATCGACGAAGGAAAGGACTTACCTCCAGGAATTACGTTTCCGGCTCCTTTCTCTCCGTATCCGAGTTCCGGCGGTATGGTCAACTTCCTCTTTTCGCCCACGCACATATCCACCAATCCTTGATCCCAACCTTTAATAACTTGGCCAACTCCCAGCTGGAATGAGAACGGCTGATCTCTGTCCAAACTGTAACAGCCAATAAATGGACGAACGTTTTAAATACTGAAAGGTCCGTGATTGTAACAAATAGTATCTTAAACGTGGCAATCGAAAGAGTCATTCTATTTCCAATAATCAAATTTTGTAACGAAATCGGCATACTTGTAAGAAATCAATATTATCCACGCTTGAGCATCTTTTAAGCTAGCTTATATTTTCCCGGATTGAATCTCGTTACCCAAAATTCGCGTACAAAAGAAAATTTCATTGAACGCCCGTCGAATTTCAGTCTTTTATTCCGGAAGAAAGCGCGCGTCTGTCTGCCGTTTTCCCCGTGAAGGAGTTGCATCGCTGGGGTGTCAATCCGTCGCAGGCTCGTAAAATCGGGTTCACGTATGCCAGCCGATCGTTTCGCGCGTGTCGGCTATGAAAAATTGACAAGTTCATCGGCTGACTGACGCTCGAGGACGAGAATGGCAGAATAGAAACGTGGCGTGCATTTCAGATAAGCTGAAATACGAAACGAACGCGAGAAAATTCAGTACGATTATGAAAAAAGGAAAATGAACGCAAATCAAAAGGCATAAATCAGTCATTGCGTAAAATGTCATTAATGGATGCACTTTATATTATTGTTTACAATTTGAAAAATCTGTCTACATTTTCGAAAAAGGAATACAGATCGTGTATCAACTGTTTTGAAAAAGATTCTTCAAATTGGCAGGATGGGGCGATGATATAACAGAAAAAGTTGGATAATCCAAGAAGATTTGGATGATAAATCTTGTAGAAGAAAGAAGTTGACAAAGTCCAGAATAGGAAAAGTCGGCTGGGAGGCAGGATAGAAGGGACACGTTCACGGGCTCGTTTGAGGCGTCCCGACGTGCGTCGTTACCAGTGACTCCGAGGGGTTGCAACAACGACGCGGGCGACGCGACGGCGACGTCGGGCGCACACGCGAATGCGGATGAAGTTCCGAGTGCAACGAGTAACTATGTCTTGCCGTGTAGAGAATCTCAAGCAGAGGATCTACTGTTGATATGCAGATGTACATGTGAATTCGTCTGCGTACATAATCCTGCGAATTTTTTGTTTCTACTACGTTACTTCTTTTCTTCTTTATTTCTGTTAAACTGTAATAAGGAACAAATGAATCTTTGGGGATTTTTATTATTAAAATGAAATGAAAGTACTCGTCCTATTTTTTCTTTTACAGTATAATACATGATAAAGCATATACATACAATAAACATACAGTCGTGCATTCTAGGGCACCCTATGTAATTGTAATCACTCAATCTTGATAGCGAATGATCTTAAATATAAGAAGGAATAATCGTAATTTTTAATTATATGTCATTTCTGACACGTGTAATTGAGTGCACAGGAGACTGCTTTTTTCTACTGCTTTTGACAAGGAACGAATCGATTCAATACGTTACGCGTAAACAAACAAATTATGAAACCTGTAGACGCAGCCGGCCGAAATCCTCCTAACGCAACTCGTTACCGTGGGCACGGCGACACGGAACGCGCAGAATAATGCCGACAAGTTTCGTGCATAATTACGTTGCGTAAAAGTAATTACACGACGTGTGTAGAAATTCAAGTTCCCCGTACTTTCATGCATTCGCAACTGTGCGTTCAAACCATGCGAAGAATACCGGATACAAGAGTTAATAAATTGATGGAGATTTTTAGTGCAGATAGCGTTTTTGTAACTGTTCATTTTTCATTAACCATCGTTTGCACAGCTTTATATTGTGTCGCATGATACGTGCGATGATTAGGTTTTTAGGTATGCAAACGGGGACAAAAAGGCATGTAGTACCGACGCACAGTTTTACATAGTTCTTTAAAATCGAGACATTTTAAGATTCCAATATGAAAAAGAGATACAAATATAAATATCAGAACACTTGTACGTCCCGTATTTCATAAATAAATTGCGGGGACAGAAATACAGATCTGTCGCTGGAAATATAGGACGACCGGTCACCGTAATGATATGTGAACATTTCATTGATGGAAGTAGAGAATTGGGAAATATGATTGATTCATACAATAATTATTTTGCTCAAAATCGATGAAACCGATCTCGCATCTCGCTCCCTGTCTGCATCACCGTCTGCTCGGTGGAATATTAAAAGCTAGTAAGAGAATCGGTCGATAGACGTGGAGCATTTATTTCATTAACTGGTATTACTTTTCGATACCTCGATAGTCAACGGCTCATCACCGCCTGTCGCGTAATTATTGACTTTTATTTTTGCGAAAGTAACGTAACACGTCTCTCGTCTCATTTACCCTTCAATCATTGCACTCTACGCAATAATTTCCCTACACGTCAAACAGTATTTCTAAACTTTCAAAAAGTTAAACCATGTTGTAAAAGAAAATTAAAAATTCGTTTTTAACCACAATATCGTTATAAAATAATATTTTATCCTCCTTTCTGACGTGAAATTTTACCAAAGAAACGTAGTACTGAATTCGACACAAAATTTACATTAAACTCGGAAAGTAGACGACGCGATAATTAATTAATTACACGAACTTGGCGGTGAAGAATAGGCGACTCAGGCGACGTGTTCTCTCAACGCGATGCTCGGCCGGTGAAAAACGAAACTAACGAAGCCGGGAGAGAAAAGGGTTCGAACGACAATGCGTCGGTGAAAAGGGAAAGTCATAATGGAAGGGAGACCGGGGTGGCCGAAGGAAGGGCATAAGCAGACGGCGGAGAAAAGGAGAAACCGCGATGGGATCACGGAAACTGAGAACCGCCGTTTCAGCTCCAAGCAAATACCTTGAAACTAATTTCTGCCACGATTTTCTTTCAATGAGCGTGAACCTCAAATTGAATCCAAAGACAAAGCGAGACGATTAATCTGGTAGAAACTACAGTCAATATTTAATAAAATAGAACGTGCTATCATTCACAATTTGTTCTTCACAATATAATTTCGTTTATTTATGAAAACCATGTAAACAAAAAATGTTTCTGTTCTTTTTCTTTTTTTTTATACTTGTGCCTTTATGTTTTCAAAGTCAAATAAAAATTAAAAGCAAAATCAAATAATTATTGACTTTCCTCTATTCCGTTTCCCTCATCATTCTCGTTTCTTCTCAATTTTAAATAAACCGATCGCACTAATTCCTCATCCGAGTTTGTACTCGCAATTAACCCTTTCAGTGCAAAACTTAATTGTAGTCACCTGCCGCCAAGTGCCGAGTTCGAAGGCCGACTATGGTTGAACCATTAAAGGTGACAAATGTTCGTTACATTTAGAACGTTCAATAGTAACCTTTCCCCAATCGATTTATCGCTTAATTCTCTTCTTCTCATTTAAATTACCTATTAGTTTGATGCAAAGATAATTGCGATTTTCGTACATAGTGATTGAGGTCATTGCAATGCAAAGAATGTAGATCTATTTTTAATTGAACTGGGAATGATTATACATTTATGGAAATTTTCAATAATTTAAAGGAACACAGTATACAGAAATATGTAAAGAAATACGAAATGTCCAAAGTGAAACACAATTTATAATATTTAAAGGAAAAAACAA